ACATATACATGAACAAAACAAGGATACCTAGTTATTATAAAATATATACATGAGTTATTAAATGAACTCTAAATTCACCTAAAAGTTTCAAATACTTGGAAAAAAAAGGAACAACAATCAACAATTTTGCCTGCCACTGATGTCAATTAATTTCAGACTTAATACAGTGGAACTTAGCCACAATTATTGAACCATAAAATTTATATATATGTAGGACATTTCTTTTGCACTCCCTGTTCCCACACAGAATAATTTTTTAGTTGGTAAACTTTTTTTTTTTTTTTTGAGTAATTGGAAATAGAATGAAATATATTGGACGTTATGTAGACTCCAGCACTGATGGAATAATGTAGCATTTTCTTGCTCATTCATTCGACTTAAACAGGATGCGCAATAGTTAAATTTTTCAGTTGAAACTGCAATATAAAGTTGTCATTTAAAACTGCAATCTATACGTTATAAATTTTCCAGGTTTTACCAATTAGCAAATTACATCAGGCTGCATTTTCCCATTCCAAATAGTACTAACTTAAACAGGATGTGCAGTAAGTGTAAAATTGGCATATACAACAACAACAACAAAGCCTTAGTCCCAAAATTATATTGGCATATGATTAAAATATCATAGCATGTCCTCCTACAACAAAGATGCATACTTTAGCATAACAATCAAAAGTAATTTCATTTATTTTAAAAAAAGTCAGCCACTCATGATTTTTTAGAATCAAAAGCCCCACTGCAACATAGATTTCAAGGTACAAATCCTCATCTAGCAGAAGGATATAATGACAAAATTCAATTATCTTTAAATCAGACAGATGGACTGTATTCATTCCCTTTGGGACCATGCTACGTATTATATGAATAAAATATTTCCTTCTATTGTTTTAAGTTTTTAACCTTCAAAAGAGTGAATTGTCTTCCTTCCGACTCTGCCTTAAATACTATATTCCTCTAGAGAAGCGCTAATACAGAGATCATCATCAAAATTTGCAACGAATAAGTAAATACAAATAAATTTCATATATGAGTATGAGACAAGACCCAGGCAATTGAGTAAGGCTCACCACCAAACATTAAGAACAGGTGAGAGAAAGGGAGGAATCACACAGAGACTTACTGAACCTTTCCCCGAATACAGCTTATATAGAAACATCACACTGATACACACTCTTCTGTTATTAAAATTTCATTTACTTATCAATCTCATTAACATCCAGTTGTATATCTTCTAATGAAGTAAGTTTCCACTAGGTGCATGCTTCTGTCCCCAATTATTCATCTAGTCACATCAAGTAAGTTCAGATCTTAAGTGCAATATAAATTTCAAATTGCAGACATCAGTGAAGACTCCACTCAACAATTATAAACTTATTTCTCAACATTTTAGTAATCGTCAACAAGGACGGGAGGGTGGGGGACTAGGATATAGGCAATCAATTATACTGCATTTTCTTTTGTATAGACACTCATCACCATCCTGCTCACTGTTGGATGTAATCACTGATTAAAATAACATTGGCAATAGCAGTGCAAATTGGCATAAAGCATATAGAAGTATAGCACAATCAATTATATCATACAGAAATTAGATCTGAAAGATGTAAAGGTGAAAAGAGTATTGTTTACAAGAAGTTGATAGTATTCGGCCTCTCGTAGTAGCTCAGCATAATCGGAGTCCTTTAAGTTGGGAATCATACCATCCCGTAGCCAGTTCAAGATATGCCGAAAATGTTCACCATCTCTATCCACAAAGATATAGCCCTGAAGAAGGTTACTGTTAGTTTATTACTTATAGAAGTTATAACAAAGCAAATAATATGCCTGAAGATTGAAAAATTAGATGCTGCATGACAATAGATGATATTAAGGCAGTCACTGAGCTATTTTTCTTTCTTCCTATATAAGTGAATAGCTTTTGCTAGCTTGGTTGACGAGGAGGAAATTTACTTAATTCCTATTGTGATCCCTTCTTACAAACTAGTTTTACAAAAAGAGAGGTTCCTCTGCAATTTAAACCCTGACTTTGTGACTTTGTAAGATCATGGACATCTGAGTTTATGTGAGATGCCAAGCATTGAAGCTGACTAGTGTTCTTTTTTGTGCAAAGCTTACGAGACCACAGTTACATTTTACCAAAAATGATTATCTGGCTGGTTGAAATTATTGAACCTTAAATGGATTTCATTTAGGATCAGGAGCTTGTGAGTGTGCCTGTTTAACTAGCCTTCAACAGGTTTGTATACAATGTGAAATGAATACTCGGAACTGCTTGAGCAAGCTATATTGCTCAACCACGGAAACAAGGTTCATACCCAAGTGTTAAACTCCTTAAAGCTAAAACATTGGGACACAAGGACATTATTCGAAAATTGGACACAGGTGTGGAATGCAGATACCACATTCATGTAACAGTATCCTTATTTTAAAAGACTGTTGCATGTGCTTTTCATGTTACAAATGCATAAACACAGACATCATGGTAATTTATTCACTAGTTCTTGTTAATTTAGGATGATAGGATCGAAGCTCAAATTTGAACATATATCATACAAAATTCTCTTCGTTTTCCTTTTCTTCATTAATATGTGGTTCATATGTCATGTCGATTAAAAATTCCATTCCCTTGAATTTCCTTTTCTTCATTAATATGAGTACATAAGACAAAATTCTCTTCGTTTTCCTTTTCTTCATCAATATGAGTACATAAGACAAAATTTTGGCATATGCATTCCCATCTATAAAATTCATCCTGTTAACCTCAAATTTCTCAAAACATTGAATCTCCCGAAATCCCCCCCCCCCTGCCCTATGTTCCTCTAGTTATAACTAATAAACAAAATTTTGTTCCTAATGTTAGGTTAAGAACTTGGACTTGCTCATTCTGACATTTAACCCACTAATCCTTGGATCCTCGCCCCTCCCCAAAGCCCCACAAAAATCAGAGTGAACTTCACTTATCAATATTCATCACATAACTTCTACAGTTCCCCAACGAAATCATTGACTGAGAACTTTTTACTCTCAATCAACTGATCTACACTCTTAATGGAATGAAATACTACTGATAACAAAATAACATTGATCCATAATCCTATGTTACCTAATTTTCCATTAATGGGTATGCAAATCACAACCTACTACTGTTATATTAGGCCAAAATGTACCACTTTAACATACAAATTCGCGTTATTCAGTATACCGGAGACTCAACTACACCCTTAATCCATGACCAGTACAAAAATCACCGCGATAACAATGTAAATAATAAACATATAGTCAATTAAAAAAAAAAGGCAACAAGGGTAACCTTGTCAGAATCTTGGCAAACAGTGTAGCGACCACTAAACATCGCGGCAAGCATCGAATCAGGTTCTCGTTGCGTCAATGTATCAACTGTTGTACAGAATTTCTTCCCTCCTACAATTCAAATCATCAACAACAAATACTCAAACACAATCAAGAAACCTCACTTAAATTTTCAGCATAAACTATCAAAAAATGGTATAATTATACAGTAATTCAGTCCCAATTAAGTTGCATTTGGCTCAAAATTGCCCAAAAAATCATCAAAAGATTGAAGAATAACGAAAATCAGAAAAACTGAACTGAATCACAGTTGAATTATACTCTTGAAAATCAAAATCCTTTGCTTGTTAATGAAGGAATGAAAATATATAGAGAAAAACAGATGAGATAGGAGAGAGAACGAGAGAGAATACCAATGTTGAGACGGACGACAGAGGGAGAATCGGGAGTCATGATCGACGGGAGTAGTGAGGATTGAGAGAGTGGGTAGGAGAGAGAATATGGTAAACGCACGCCGACGACTGACTTGGCACTGTTTTTTCACATTCTCACACTTTTTTGTAAGGAACGCCATTTAACGGCAAAATGGCCTGTCCGGGATGCTAGTTTGTACTTACTTGTTTAATTTGTTAATCATGTTTGACTGTTTTTTTTTAATGTTTTGATAATCTTCTTGAATTTCATGACTTGAAAAAAACATTTGTAAGCACTGATTATCTTATCCAAGTTAAATATAATTTGTTTGATAGAAAAGCACAATAAATGAATTACTAAAATGGTAAGACTTGTTGTTTCAAAAAAAAAAATGGTAAGACTTGTAAGTTGTAGCTTAACACGTATTGGTCTCAAGTTTAAGTCTAGTTATGTTTGTAGTGCTTAAAAAAAATGTGACATGTGACACGTATTCTGTTTTAGGAACGTTGTGTAGATTGTTAGAAAATATCTTGTTTTTAGGCAATTTGTGAACTAGTACCTTGCTTTATTTTTTTTGGCCAACTAATACTTTGAATTAAATTTTGTTTTAAATATGGCACCTTAATGACAGATTTCGACTAAAAAGTCAAGTTTGTGATGTTTGGACTTTCAATTTTCCATCAGTTTTGGTCACAATGGAGCATGTGAGAGCTAGCCAATGCATAAATAGGAAATTCAAATCATTTCTACCTTCATTCTTCCCTTTCCTCATTCATTTATCCGTTAAAGGCTATAATTATGCAAACTTTCGTTGTTGTTGAAATTCCATAAGTTGAAGCCCACAAGTTTCAGCTTTCAATTGGGGAGGCAATGGTAGATTCATCAAATTAGACTTATAAACCTTAGGGGCGTGAATCTTTAAGTACGTGCATCACACGATTGCACGCGTAAAAAGGGTGGAGAGAAAATGAGAGTCAAATGCTGGAAATTTGACTTTTCGACTAGAATTCGTCATCAAGGTACCATTTTTAAAACAAAATTTAATTCAACATATTAGTTGACAAAAATAAAATAAAATAAGGTATTATTTACAAATTGACTTTAAAGCAAGGTATTTTCTGACAATTTTGCAATACTTGTGCGATATTACTCCGTACTTGGCAAACCGAGTACACAAAAAGCTACTCCCTCCGTTTTGAAATACTTGCTCAACTTTTCATTTCCGGCCGTTTTTAAATAATTGTTCTATTTCCTTATTTGAAAAGGTTTTACAATATTTAATTTATTTTTCTCAACTAGTGGATCCAGCCTAAATCACATTTTATTAATTTCATATTCTCTTTACTCCAATTCTCTCAATTACTTTTGATTTTTATAATTTTTTTTTTCGTCCACCTACCCCACTACGTTCATATTTTATTACCTTTTTCAAATTTCCGCTAAAACTTCGCGCATAAAAAATTAAATGGAGCAATGTATATAAAAATGGAGGGACTATCATCGAAACACGCTCGGTGATCAATTATGGTAAAGAAACTTCAAAATTCTCCACAATTGACAAATTGACAATAGTGGGAGCAGATCAGCAGAGTGGCAGAGTCAGTCAGCATTGTGATCTCATCTCCCTCACCGCTCTTGTTTCTTTCCTCCCATCTTCCCCGAGAAAAAAGGGTGTAAAAGTCTAAACTTTGAAATCAGATGTAAAAAAAAATGGGCAGAAAATTCCCACATTTCATTCCTTCCCCCTTTTAAAAATCACCTGAAAAAACAAACACAATAACCCAGAAATCTGTGAAAATCTCAGAACAATAACAATGGTGATTAAAGCAGAAAGCCTAACATTAATACTAGTAAATTTAGCAGGAATAATGGAGAAAGCAGACGAATCAATTTTACCTGGAGTTTACAAAGAAGTTGGTGAAGCTCTTCATGCTGACCCCACTAAATTAGGGTCACTCACTCTCCTTAGATCCATTGTTCAATCTGCTTGTTACCCACTTGCTGTTTATCTCTCTGCACGGCATAACCGTGCCCATGTTATTGCTCTTGGTGCTTTTCTTTGGGCTGCCGCTACTTTTCTTGTTGCCATCTCTTCCACTTTCTTTCAGGTAGTATTTCTAATCTTTGATCTTAATTGGATTTTGTTTGTTTTAGTAGATTTTTAGCTTAATTTGTTTTAGTTGTTGATTGTAGATGTTTGAGCTAGTTATGAGGAATTGGACTGCAATTGGGGACTGAATTAGGTGAATTTTGCAATTTTTACACCCATGTTTGGTTTTGTTGAATGGATGTTGTTCTTGCATGTATAGATTAATCCATTTTTGGAACAAAAATGGAACAGTTATTGATCAACTACATATTGGGAATTTTCCGTCTTTTGGATTATGATGGACCAAATTAAATGTCTTGATGAACTGATCTTCATTTTGTTGTTGTTATTGTGGAGAGGAAAATTGGAATGATCACTGGCCTATTAGATTAAGTATGGAAGTAGCATATTATTAGAAGTCTAGGTTTGTAAATTAGGTATATAGGGATATCAATTCCTTACCCCATTGTAAGCGAGAGTCTTGTTGGGGTTTCTTTTCTAATGGTGTTGTATGCATTCGTCTTGGATTTGTGGAATAGAATTAGGCTGTTAGTGTTTGATGTTCTCCATATAGTATTATAGCTTGCTACTATACAGTAGACTTTGTGTGTGCGCATTTGAACAACTGTCACCCTAAATCGGGAACAAGAATAGAGGTTGCTACGGAAGAGCTAGAACTATATTAAGATAAGAGATGGTGTTTGGGGCTTCGATAGTTATTTATGTGATAGGGTTGTTCAAATGGTTATTTTTATGCCATTGACAGCCCAATTTGGTAAGCTGTAAGCAGTCATAAATTGCGAAAATGCTAATAAATTTGTATGTAATCTCACAAGGAAATTCCGTGTTGATTAACATATCAGTGAAATTCATCTTCAAACATGTGTTTTTGTTTATAAATCTCCATTTCCCCACAATACCACTGCTAAAGTGGTAATGGAAGATAATGAAAGATAATGAAGAAAGTGATGTATTTGAGGTGGGATTAGCATGGTCTGTGTTCACAAATTTACTTCACCATTACCACCACCACCTATCAAACGGGCCATGTGGATACAAGTGTGAATAAATTTCTTACTATTTTGTGAACTAGCTAGAAAACTTTAGGCAGGATATATATTCTAAATATTTTATGGCAAGTTTTGTTGAACGTATCTGTCCTGTTATTTCATTAAGTATATACTCTTAAATGAGAGCCAAAGCTGCGGTAGAATCAAGACTCTAATGCACTAGCATCATGCTTTCATTCTGAAGTTGGGAAGTAAAGGGGGCTGGAGTTTATGCGTAATCTCTGTTTGTTTGTACAAAGTTTCACTTTGGTGGGTGTGGGTGTGTGTTGAGGGGGGAGAGGGGGGGGGGGGGAGTTGAATCCAATATTCCAACCAGTTATAGTTTAGGGGTTCAGAATTTGTATGCATGAGAAATGGGGTGCTGGGGTCATGTGCTATTTTCTCTGAAATGACTTGACAGTCAGCATAGCATTGGTTAGCTAATGAAAGGAACATTTTAGGTTTTTTGTAGTCACAACTTCACTTCTTTACTCCTCGGTGGAGGAGATTCATTGTTAATCTAGGAAGGTATGTAGAAAATTTCAACCAAATAACTAAAAAGCAATGATCTTTGGCCTATAACCTAAATGAAAGAGATATATCAGTTGTCAAATGAAATGGGTAGAGGGCAATGAAACACTCAAGAGATGTTTGTCCTCAAAAATGGAAGAGGACTGGTGGAATGTTGAAGGAGTGGATTGAAAATTGGGTTAGTAAAAGCAGCAATCTTACTGGGTACATAATAAAGAGTGAAAGGAGATTTGCTACGGTAGGATTGACACAATGGAGCTAGAGAAAAGCATGCGCATAGATTTCCTAGTAGATATTCAATAAAATTGCCGCATTTACAACTTTGACATTCACCATTACCCCGTTCACAACTAGTTTCGGTATTGTTGGCTGTTGCTTAAGAACAGCTGTTGGCCTTTAGCCTTAGCATTGCTGTCATAGTGTACGCCTAATGCTTGTATGAAATGTCTGATCTGTTGTCAAGAAGAATGTGGATTTACAGTTCTTACTCATAAATTGTGACCTTATCGTAGTCTTTGCGCAGCTGCTACATACTCCTAGTAAATTTGCAATTTAATGTGCATTTCAGGTTGGAGGAGATTAAATTATTAACTATTCAGAAATATGTCAAATGAATTTTATGCGTAGGTGGCAGTTTCGAGAGCTCTAAATGGGATAGGACTCGCGATTGTTGCTCCTGCTATTCAATCCCTTGTAGCTGACTCAACAGATGACAGTAATCGAGGAACAGCATTTGGGTGGCTGCAGCTGACATCCAATCTTGGCTCAGTTGTGGGTGGGCTATGTTCAGTTTTGATTGCTCCAATAACAGTGATGGGAATTCCAGGTTGGAGAATATCATTCCATCTTGTTGGAATAATTAGTGTAATCGTGGGAATTTTAGTACGTTTATATGCCAAAGATCCACATTTCTCCGATGACAATACTTCAGTGAAGGCCAATGGATCATTTTCTTCACAGGTGAAAGAATTAGTCGATGAAGCAAAATCGGTTATTAAAATTCCATCTTTCCAGATTATCGTGTCCCAGGGTGTCATGGGTTCTTTCCCTTGGTCAGCTTTGTCATTTGCAGCCATGTGGTTGGAACTCACTGGTTTTTCTCACACAGAGACTGCAATTCTTATTGGGCTATTTACTATTGCTAGTTCAATAGGGGGGCTGTTTGGTGGTTGGCTGGGCGACAAATTGTCTAGGCATTTACCTAATGCTGGAAGGATAATATTAGCACAGATAAGCTCTGGGTCAGCAATCCCTCTAACGGGTCTGCTTCTGTTGGTTTTACCTGATGATCCTTCTACTGCTGTGGCGCATGGCTTTCTCATGTTTATCACAGGGTTTTTCATATCCTGGAATGCTCCTGCCACTAACAAGTAAGTCTTGGAGAATGTTGTTATAATGCAACATGGTTTGTTATTTTGCGTGCCACACAATATGCAGTTCATATAGTAAAAAAGCCTCTTGATGGAAGATGCTGCTGTGTCATGAACTTCATTAAAGGTTGATTGCAATAGAACATTCTCTTATAAGTGAACCTTTCATCAATTAATTTGTCAAAGAATTGGAACAAAGAAAATTATACACAGATAAACCCATGATTGCTGGTCCCAAGTGTTTTACTAACAATCTACAGAAATATTCGTAGGTATTTTTAAGAGCTGGCTCAACAGCCTATATATAGGGTACTGTCATTTTCAAGGTGATAAAGTGAGATTAACGGTAAATTTTTTGACAGGAATGTCTATCAACTGTAGCCTCAAGAATGTTGGTTTCAACTTTCATAACCTAGTTCATCTTTGTTTATTTTTATGGTGTGTTAGTGTTGCCTGATATCCTGCATCTTTGTCAACCAAGTTGACCATTAGATTGTTTTGTTTTCTTTGTGGGTTTATTTTTGTTTGGACTTCAATATTTGGACTTATCTGTGTTACATTCTCTGTCTAAAAAGAGAATGTTTTTATTCAAGATTTTAAATGCTGTGCGCAGTCCAATATTTGCAGAAATTGTTCCTGAAAAATCAAGAACAAGTATCTATGCATTGGATCGATCATTTGAGTCAATACTTTCATCCTTTGCACCACCTGTTGTCGGCATATTGGCTCAGCATGTCTATGGTTACAAGCCCGTTTCTAAAGGATCCACTATCACAGAAGAAATAGCAACAGATCGAGCAAATGCTGCATCATTAGCCAGCGCTCTTTATGTTGCAATAGCTATTCCAATATCCTTGTGCTGCATCATCTATTCATTCTTGTATTGCACATACCCAAGAGATAAGGAGCGTGCCCAAATGCAGGCTTTAGTAGAGTCTGAGATGCAGCAACTGGAGGCTGATAACCTGATTGAAGGGCAATACACTTTGGCAGAAATATCAAAATCTGAAGGGTTGCTTTTCGAGGATGGAAGCATTGAGATGGATTACAAAGTGGGAGACGGTGATGCTAGAGTGTTGCTTCACCATCGATAGTTGATGTCGTCTAGGATGATTATGCTTTATAATGTAATGTAACTTTAGGTGACAAAAATGTCTGATATTTTTTAAGTTTACTCTCAACTAACTCTCATGGTAGCTGCAAAATTTTTCCATGAAAGGTTAGGATATTTTGAGTTGTAACGCAAAAAGAAAACATGTGAAGAACAAACTGTATTTTTGTCAATGTACAGAATAGGATTTGTTACCTTGTTTGCATAATTTTCTGTTTGTGTAAATTTAGGTCATGTAATATCGATAACAATTCAGATTCGTGTCTGCTAATTTAGATTGGTTGATTGGATATGGGTCACGCTTGTCTAAGTCTGTAATGTACCTATATTTGCTGCGTCAAAACTTCTGCAGGAACAGCAGAACAGCATTGTATGATGTCCAATTCTATGAGTGTAGTATTTTTTCATTAGATTTTTACGTAGTGCTGTATATATGCTTTACCATTGATCAGTACTTTTGAGTTATCTAACCTCCATTTCAAGTATTGACAGACCGACTTTCAAGTTGGAGGTACCGTATCAAATGTTCAACAGAATTCATGGAAACAGGAAACAGCATATAGAGTTATAGACGAAGGTAAGGAAAGATCATGGCGTTTACAGTTATTTGCAACTTTGCTTTTTTGAGGAAAAACCATATAATCTGCAATCTGCATGCCTGCTAATTCAGCTCAGATACTGTTTGCATTATCTAAGTGATCTAACTGAAATGAACGTTTTCTGCTCGACTGTTTTGGGTATCCTGCGAAGAGTAGGAGGCGTTCTTAGGGGCGTTAAGGGCTATCAACTAGTGTTCCTCGGATATCTTTTACCAGAGTATGTGGGAAATTGGCTTGAAATTACAGTTGATGTTGGGTACTAAGCCCTAACTACATATGGCTCGCATTGCTCTGGTTTAGAATGTTGTTTTTCCTTTTTGGCCCTAACTTTTTGTTTTTTTTTACAATAACAAATTAACAATACATTCACATTATTATAACCTCCCTACATAAAAAAAAAATAAAAAAAAATAAAATAAAAAAAATAAAAATAAAATAAAATAAAAAAAATAAAAATAAAAATAAAACCTTTGTATATTCACGAGTCATACACTCATAGCCTAATTTCTTCTAGAATTATTGCCCATGTATTATACTTTATACTACGTATTAAATTGTACTTCTATTTGACACTCCCTATGCTCCAGAAAAGTTCCCCTTATAAATGGATAAATTAAATGAAACTTTAAATATCAAACATGCATAAGTTATATCAAAACATAGGTTTAATTTATAGGCTTCTAAATCATAAGTGGATCTTGTTTAAACTATTTTCCACTTTTCATGGTATGTAGATTATAAATCGTTGAATTGTGTGTAAAAAGTTATACATTGTATTTAGTTTACATAGCTTAATCATTTGCAATTGTTTATTGAAAATCATTCAAATCCTTTTTTCTTAACTCTCAACCTTATGACACTCTTTACACTCTCGAAATATTCCTCTTTTACATAGATAGTTAGATTTGAATTGTGTGTGTTTAGGTCCAATTTATCCTCAATTGGGCCTGGTTCACAAATGATACAATCCAAAGTCCAAAAGCAAGGTTCAACTCTCCGGCCCAATGTCAAGTCAGTCAAAGGTTCAGTGCGAGTGGCAAGCCCACTTGACTCCAAGGCCCCAAGCCCCTCAATTAAGCAAAGGTATAAAAGCTAGCCTTCTCTTCACTTCGCATGCATCCACAATTAGCCTCAAGCACTAAATCTCTTGCATAGCTTATTCTCTCTCCCTTTAAACACCGTACTGACTTCGGCATCGGAGGGGCCTTCCTCAGCACAACCCTCGAGGCCAGTTTTACGTGTTCTTTACTGTGTAGGAAATCCTCGCCTCCAGCGTTCTTTGGATCGAGACCAATCTTCTCCACCTCAAAAGGGCTTGCTGAAGGCCCCATTGTTTTCATACCGAAACAATTTGGCGCCGTCTGTGGGGATGATACAATAAGTCAAAGCCAAAAATCCATCACTCCTAGCGAAAAACATGACTAAGAGTGGCAAAAGCACCAAAAGTGCTAGAAAGAGGAAGGAAAGAGACCTGATCACGGTGAGGGAACATCAACCGGTTTCACTGTTGCCGGAGCCATCCTCTCCTTCCTCAAGAGCTCCCAATTCCCACTAAAGGGAGGCATCAAGAGCCCCCAATTCTCAGGGAAGGGAGGCTTTAAGAGACTCATCCTCGCACCAAACTCGACATCCAACAGTTTCACTTAGGCCGAATGGGTTTAATGTGAGGAGTCCTCCACCAAACAACAGCCAGCGTTCTCGGTCACAGCCAAAAGAAACCCCTCTATCGGGGCCTTCTACGGAGGAAGTGGCTAGGGCCGTGGCGGTTTGCATGGAGTTCCTTAAGGCCCAAGGGGGTCAACTCTAACCAACACCTCTTAAGTCTTCATCTTCGCAGCCGAGACACCTGAGAAGGAGAATCGGTCAAGAGAAGGATGGACAAGTTCCATCCTACAAGGAGCTTGGGAACAAGTGGTAGGAGAACACATGGAACTCCAGCAAGGAAAGGAAGAAGAACCCTCACTTCTTCGACCATTCCGAAACTCAGGACTCAATGAGTTTCCGAAGCAGCATTACTACCTCCACATACAAGGAGGAGTCCGCTCGCTGAAGTGTTCATGAACGCTTAGGCTCAAGGGAGGTGGATGTGCACAACCGCCTCACTTTCCCAGGAAAGACCGGGTCCTACCTCGAATTTTCTCGGCCAGGGACGAAAACCACTTCCACCTCTCTAAGAGGGAGAAGCGAGGTCCCTTCAGCCAAGCAAAGAGGGAAGGCCGTAATGGCCCCTACAAGCTCGCCCTTCCAAACTTGGATACTAGAAGAGCATGTGCCGACGGTGAAAATACCGGCGCACATTACTTACGATGGCACCTCGGACTTAAAGGATCACATTGCCTCTTATGACGGGCACATGTATCTTAACCCTAGGTCCGAGGCTACCTGGTGCAAGTACTTTCCAACAACCCTCAAAGGTGTTGCACAATCGTGGATCACCAAAGGGGTAAAAGAAGGCTCTATCTCTGGTTGGAAAGACTTTTCCAACAAATTCAAGAGCAAATTTTCTACGACTCATCGCCGAGAAAAGACAACTGCAGAGCTGATGAGTCTGCAGCAAGCCGAAGGTGAAAGCCTCCGCGATTATCTGACTTGCTTTAGCAACGAGTCATCTAGAATTACAAGTATGGATTAAGGCCTTGCCGTATTTGCACTACGGAATGGTCTGCAAGCTGGAAAGTTCCTGGACTTCATGGTCATGCATCCCCCGCAGACCTTGGAGGAAGCTTTGGATGCCTCGGATAAATTTATTCGAGTCGAAGAATGGAACAAGGCGAAATCTCAGCCCCAATCAGGGGCTGGGAAAGCTAAAGGACAACTGTCCGAGGTCCCGGCGCTGAGGAAAGGGAAGGCCAAGGCCTCAGAACCGTCCTCGGCCGCCGAGCCGAAGAAAGAAAAATTTTTCCCCTATTCGGGAGATACTATTCATACATTCCCTTTACTCTACCTCGTGCTAAGATTTACAGCAAGACAAGAGACGAGGGGAGATTCAAGAAGCCTCGACCGTTGCCACCATGGCATCAGCAGAAGGGCAAGGATCGATGGTACGAGTTCCATGAGTCTCCTGGACATCGCACCGAGGACTGCCTTCGGCTGAAGGAACAGATTGAGGATCCGGTTCGGAAAGGCTACCTGAAGAAATACCTCGCGGATCACCGCGAGGAGAAGAAAGCCAAGAGAGACTCTCGGCAAGATCTTGACTTTCTCCGGAAAAAAGACAAGCAACAAGACAACGACACCCTTGACATTCTTGTTATTTCCGAGGGAATTTCTCGGAGTGCAGTAAAACACCACTTGAGGGGTCTGACCCACCAAGTAAATCATGCTGAGCTCCGGGCGCCTCAGTCTCTGGTGCTAAACATTATGTTCATAGCCGAAGACCGTGAGGGGGTGGTGTACCCCCATGATGACCTATTGGTGATAGTAATGAGCATTGCAAACCGCAACGTCTGACGAACCCTCGTCGACGGCGGCAGCGGGGTGAATATACTCTTTCAGGGAGCATTTGACCAGCTGAAGATGGAGGCCAAGCACCTAACTCCGATACCTTACCCGGTATCCGGGTTCAATGGCTCTTCATCATATCCAGATGGGAAGATCCTACTTCCTGTCACCATCGGCAAAGGCCGAGCAGTGCGGAGCATCATGGCCGAATTCCTGGTTGTAGATGCCCCCTCTATGTATAACGTGATTATGGGGAGACCCCTCATTCACGACATCCAAGGAGTTGTCTCGACGTAAACGATGATATACGTTTCAGACGAGGGACACTCCGAAAAAATAAAGGGCAGCCGAAAGGAAGCCCGAAGATGTAACCACCTCAAGCCTCCAAGGGTCGCCGCAGCGACCAGGATGATGAGGAGGAAAAAGATCGGGATCGTAGCGCAAAAAAGCCTAAAGGCTTAAGTGCTTTGGCCCAAGGAACCCCGATAAAAGAGAAATCTTTGGGGAATGAAAGGGCTAGTTCTTCATCTGAGCCGAAAGACTCAGAAGATCAGCCAGAGTCTAGCAAGCCTGCTGATATAGACAGCAGGCCGGAATCCGAAGAATATGGTGCCAAAGCTATGGAACTGGATAACTAGATAGAATCAATAGAGTTGGCCGAAGGGAATTATGAAATGTGTGTCAGCATCAGACTAGGACTTGAACCAGACGTTCGTGCTGAACTAATCCAACTCCTTCGGGACAACAAAGATGTGTTCGCATTCTCGGCAGAAGAAATGTGTGGGATTGATCCAAACCTCATCTCTCATAAGCTTAATGTCAACCCGACGTGTTGACCCATTAAGCAGAAAAAGTAGAACTACTCCGCATAAAAGAACCAAGACATCGCAGCCGAGGTCAGAAAACTCTTGGATGCTGGGTTCATCGAACCTTGTCAGTATCCGAAATGGCTGGCTAATGTGGTGATGGTTCAAAAGGCAAATGGTAGCTGGAGAATGTGCGTTGATTTCACGGATCTAAATAGGGCATGTCCGAAAGACTTCTATCCCTTGCCGAGGATTGATCAGCTAGTCGACTCGACAAGTGGCCATGCCTTGCTTAGCTTCATGGACGCATTTTCTGGGTACTATCAGATCTTCATGCACCCTGACGACTGAGCAAAAACGACATCTGTTACAAGTTTCGGGGTGTACAATTACAAGATGATGCCCTTCGGATTGAAAAATGCGGGGGCAACGTATCAAAGGCTGGTTGATCAAGTGTTCGCCGAGAAAAAAGGCCGTAATATGGAAGTCTATGTTGATGATTCTATCGTCAAAAGCAAGGAAGAAAAATA